TATTGCCTCTTTCTACAGATACAGTCAATATGATTTCAGTGTGTTCTGTCTGGCAAGGTACATGTGTATAATTGTTGTGTATGTTGTTGAAAAAAGTATTTGCAATGAATAAGTCATTGGTCTTGCAAAATTCTATTGTGTGATCTCTGGTGTCATTTTTATCCCCAAGGCCATGTTTTCCAACTACCAATGCTGCTTCTTTGTTTCCAACTTTTGCATTCACATCACCAGGAATTATCGATACATCTTGATTGCATGTTTAGTCGATTTCAGATTGTAGAAGTTGGTAAAATCTTCAATTTTTTCATCTTTTGCTTTAGTTGCAAGTGCATAGATTTGAATAATAGTCATATTAAATTAGTCTTTCTTGTAGGCATATGGATATTATTGTATGCCTGAGGAGTAGGCAGAAGTGTAGATCTTGAAAATGGGGAACCTGCACTCACTAGAGGGAGACTTGTTGTATTCAGCTAAGAGCCAGCAGTGAAGCCAGGTGAGAAGAGGAGTCAATCTAAGGAGTACATGTAAAAGTATAAGAGGCTCTGTAGTCAATAGTGAGAGCTCTGGTAGCGTAGTTCCTAAGGCATTTGACTGCTAACCAGAAGGCTGGCAGTTCAAACCCACCAGCCACTCCTTGGAAGGAAGATTGGGCAATCTTCTTCCATAGAGATACTGCCTCAGAAATCTAAGAAGGGGTCACTATGAGTTGGATCTAGCTCGACAGCAGTGAATTTGTTTGTTTGTTTGTTTTTAGCAGTTAATAGTAGGTCCTTATGTGAAGTGAAGATTCTTGGCTGCACATTGGTTAGTGCTCAGCTGCTAACCAAAAGGTTGTCAGTTTTAGACCCATCAGCTGCTGTAAGGAAGAAAGTTGTGGCAATCTGCTTCTGTAAAGATTTATAGCCTTAGAAACCCTATGGTGCAGTTGCCTTCTGTCATACAGTGTTGCTATGAGTTGGAATCAATTCAGTGGCATTAAGTTTTGTTTTCTTTTTTATGAAGCAAAAGAAATGAAACATTTTATTGATAAATCTATAAGATTCCGTCCAACTTCTCTAAAGTCAGCTGTTTCTATTAAAAGTTAGTAAAGTAGAATCCTTTCTATATATACATCTGTGTCACTGAACAAGTGAGCTATCCTATTTGATCCTTAGTTCTCATCGCTATACAACAGGACCTCCTAATTGGTCTCCTCATGTCCACTACTACTTCACTTACTACAAGGAATTCTGTACATAGCAGTGATGGAGTGTTTTTCCCAACTAAATCTGGTGTTATTCCCAGGTATGAAATCCAGCCTCTTTCTTTGACACTTGATATCCTTCCTTACTGCCTTGGAAACCCAAGGAGGGGTCGCTATGAGTCGGGTCTGACTCAACAGCACATAACAACAACAACAACAACAACAACAACAATTACTCATTAGCTTCACTCATTATGGCCTGTGTCTGTGATAGATACTCAGGAAATATCTGTGAGATAAATGAATGGTCTTGCCTCATAAATTTGTTGTGTGAAGTGAATGTGATAGTATATGAATTCTTGAACAATGGCCTAGTGCATTACAGGTGTATAACAAATGCCACTTTTGATAACTTTTAGCATTGTCTTTGCCAAAGTCTACGTTCCTGCTGATTATTTTCTGTCCTCTCTGCTGTGATATAGCTTCTTTAGTCTTCCCATCCAGCCAATTAACTGCCTTAGGTTTCCACATCCCTATAGGTTTACAGGCCACTTGTATTGACATCCCACTTTCTTCAGTTTGCTCTTAGTATGCCTTCATCTAATTCCTTGGGATTTTTCATATACATCCTTTCCTGAGTAACCCCTTTCTTATTGTGCTGAAATAATTGTATATGGGTTCCTGGTCTTAGGTATTGGATTCATAATAACCTTCCTGCTGGAAATTCCCAGAAGAATGGGAATCCTCTGGAGACTCAGTCCCTTACCTGCCAAGGAGCTTTTCACCACTCATAAAGCAGTATCCTGATCCCATCATGATTATGTAGATTTGGAACCAGGGATTCAGAAATTTGACCTAGAATTCTTTGTACACCATTTCACTCCCAGTCTTTATCAATAAGGATGTCAGTGGTGGCATCAACAAAATTGCATCATAGAACAATGCAAAGAATCAGGTAAACCCCTAGGATTCTCTTTTAGAAAATCCAATTCTACAGCCTTAATGACATGTAAACCCACTGTTACTGAGTCAATTCCAACCCTTAGCAACCCTTTAGGACAGAATAGAACTTCCCCATAGGGTTTCCAAGGCTCAAAATCCTTACAGAAGCAAATTGCCTCATCTTAATCCCCTAGAGAGGTTGGTGGGTTTGAACCACTGACCTTTTGGGTAGTAGCCAAATGCTTTAACCACTGTGGCACCAGAGCTCTCTCATAAGTTACAGCCAACACTTATTGAACACCAATTATGGATCAAGCAATGTCTCAAGTATTTTACATACATTACATTATGTTATTAGTTTAGTTTTATTAGTATTCCTGTTTTATACTTTCTAACTTGTCCAAGGTCATACTGCTGGAAATTTGCAAGTTAGGGTTTAAACTCATGCGGTTTAATTTCAGATCCCTGCCCTCCACTATGCTTTTATATTCTGTAGTGTCTCAGTAGCAGTTCCAGGGTTGTAGAGTTACCTTTTGTTCTTTAATGTTTGATTTTAAATTTTTAAAGAATATGCAGTCTGGTAGCGTAGTGCCTAAGGCACTTGACTGCTAACCAGAAGGCTGGTGGTTCAAACCTACCAGCCACTCCTCGGAGGGAAGATTAGTCAATCTCTTCTCTAGTGATACTGCCTCGGAAACCCCAGGAGGTGTTGCTGTGAGTTAGGTCTAACTCGATGGCAAATAACAACAATGACAGTCTTTAAAAAAAAAATTTTTTTTCCTCTCTGTTATCCTACCCTACCAATCCAAGTTTCATTTCCCTTAAGGCAACTACTTTTAACAGTATTTTCAGACTTTTTTTCTTTATCATAATATTTTCTTGTTCTTTTTTTTTTCTTTTTAACCTCTTTTAGTATTACGTGTGACTTTCTTCTCAGCTTTTTTTTTTCTTTTTCTTTCTTTCTTCTTTTGACTTCTATAAAGTCAGCTAATTCCTACTTAGTTGGTGAAAGTGTTAAATCCAAATGATCCAAAGGCTTAAATACAAATGATGTATGTATGTACACCCCTCGGCTACTCTAAGAGAATGGTGTTCCACCTGTGTCCCAGGTCAACTTCTAAAATTAATTAATTATATTTTTACCTGTTTGGGATCCAATTACATGAGCTCCTGCTTGAAGGAGACCTGTTTTTATTAAACTCCAGTATGATGAATTCCTCAGATCTCTAGGACCAAGGCTATTATCTGACAATTCATATGTGATTGCACCACTTTGATGCCCAGAGAAATATGAACAGCAGCCCTTCCTGGCTAAAGAAATAGGTTTGGTGCTCTTTTCAAAGCATGGCTTTATGGAAGCAAGAAGTGAGTGTTTTTGCACTCATGTGAAGAGAGTTTTGTTTTTAGATCCTTATCTTTTTTCTACTTCTCTCTTCCCAAAGAAACACTGTAATTTTTAATCGGCAACAACAAAATGACTCCATGGAAATGGCTGTGCTTTTCAGCATGCAGCGAAACGATTTCCTAAAGAGTCAGGTCACCAGAAGCACAGAGCAGAAAAATCCCAGATGGCACTAATATTTGATTTCATTTTTAGCACGCTCATATTCAGCAGATGGATTGGAAGGCTGACCTTCCTGACACTTCTGCATCACTGCCTGCTACTCCAATTGCCTTTGCGCATGTTTTTTCATAAGGCTTCTCTTGGTACCTCAGAGATTGATGCCTGGTCGCCTGCCTGTGTTATGCTTCATTACGCCCAGGCTCCATGTGGTTGAGAGTTTCTATATTCTATACAAGGGGAAATCCTAGCTCATCAGTGTCTCCAAATCTTCCTACAATCTCTCAAATTGCTTGTAATGTCTTGAAGAGCATCATCTTAGCTTTCTAGGGGTAGCTCTCATTTGTATCCATTTTTAACTTACCCTGTTCTAATTTTTCAGCTTTCTTCTGGGACATGACTAAATTGATAATAATATTTTAGAACTCTCTAGAAGATGGCTAAATTTATCCATTCCAGAAATACCTACTGGACATCAGCATTTGATTATTTTAATGTAAATGTTGCTGATTCCCCCTTACACTGTAGCTTCAGTGATTAAGACTATAGACCTGGTGCAGGTTTCCTGATTCTGCCTTTTACTTTAAAGAGTATGTTTCAGTTACTTGAGGGTAAGCCTTGGTTTCCTTGTTTAGAAGATAGTGATATCATTAGTATCTACTAGTTAGGATTGCCATGACAGTTCAACAAGGTAATGGATATAATGTTGTCACAGTATCTGACATGTAGTTAATGTGCAAATAAAGTACATCATATAAATACAATTAATTTGTTTAGTTTTATTTGTGTTGTGAGGGAAGTGAATTGTTTATTAAGGAGCAAGAGTTTTTAATTGTCATATTGATGCCTTGCTTTAAACTTTCTGTGGAATTATTTTATTCAGTTTTGTATGACTAAACCCACACTCAACTTTGTGAAAATTCAGCACTCTCTTCCCTTCCTTCTCCCTTTCACCAGCTAGTTTATATTTCAGTGATGAGGGTAGAGAGAAGCAGTGATCACACGGCATGAATATCCAGCAGGTGTCAGTTTTTCCTGGCAGGTTGAGATCTATGTGGCCGTTTTGTAAAGTTCTCTGGAAACATTTGATTCTGACGATTAGGTTGCTTCTGTGTAACTTACATGTTACTAATTTGCATACAACCAGATTTGGTGGATATTTTTAATGAATAGTATACTCTTGGCTTTGAAAACATTACATTATTTAGAAGCCCTTCTGTTCAAATCAGATCTCTACTCAATGTCACTTTGCTGAATTTGGGTTTAGAAGTCTGTTCTGCTGCTTGTTGTGAAGTTTCTTTTTCCTTTTTATAGATCTAATATAAGGCCAGACCATGCAGACTCCAATTTCCATGACTTCAAGATGCACACCTTCACTCGAGTCACAGCCTGCAAAGTCTGCCAGATGCTCTTGAGGTAATAAGCTTGCTCAGTCCTGTTTTTCAGTTAAAAGGAACTCATATAATTGCTAGCCTTTTTAGGCTTTTTTAATAGCCTAGTCAAAGTGCTCTGGAGTGGAAATACTGCTTTACCAGTTTGGATCCAGCACATCTTTCTAGGCCTTGAATCTGAGCTATTCCATTAGACCCTCCAGAAAGATTCTGTCCTTCTGCTGAAGAGTACTTGGAATAGGACTGTGATACACACACACACACACACACACACAAACACACACATAGATACATATACATAAGACTGATGGTTCAAACTCACCAGCCACTCCTCAGAAGGAATGTTGAGCAATCTACTTCCATAGTGATACCACCTCGGAAACCCAAGGAGGGGTCTCTATGAGTCGAATCTGGCTTGATGGCAAATAACAACACCATATATATATATATTTTTTTTAATTAATGATTTCATATAGGCTGAATTTAGCATCTTTTTAATATATCACTCTCTAATTTTACCTTTCAGAGGAACATTTTATCAAGGCTATTTATGTTTTAAGTGTGGCGCAAGAGCACACAAAGAATGTTTGGGAAGAGTAGACAATTGTGGCAGAGTTAATTCTGGTGGTAAGTCATGTTTATTGTTGTGATTCTGTTTTTAATTAGAACATAAAACTTGCTAAACATCATTAAGGCCTAATTTACTCTTAATTTATGTTTATCGTAACATATCTGCTTTTGAAGCTATCACGTATAAGCACAATTAGAAATACGTTTAAAATTCATGTGACTTTTATATATGACTTTGTTTTAAATTGTTTAAAAGTCATGTGACATTTATAAACACCTTTGAGGCAAAGGGCTTCAAAAGGGATTGGGAGTGTTTCATGTCACCCATTTTTGTCATCTCATGCTCTAAAATTTATCACTGAAGCTGTACAAATACAACCAAAATAGAATAACAAAAACAAAATAGAAAAAAAAATTGTATGCTTTACTTCTTTGCATCTTAAATTTCTCCCCATTCTCTAAAATATTCAGCTCAGAAATGTTAGTGACACCAAAAGTAAACATCACACAGACTAATTCATGAATTAATGAATTGAATACATTGTCATTTTCCAGTATGTAACAAAAAGCATATATCCTTTGGACTTTGTTATAAATATTTTCCTCATGGCTTTTAAAAATAATGTTCCATGATTGTTACATGAGGTAGTTTCTAAGGCTGTTGGCAATTACGCGTTCCATAGCCTTTTGCCTCTCTGTTCTACTCCTGGGCTCTCTTCTTTCTCTTTCTTTTCTGGCCTCTTTCTTCTTTCTCTTTCTTCTTCTTTCTCTTTGTCCTTTTCCCCTGAGTTTCTCTGAGTTTTATCAGTAAGACCTTTCAAATCCAGTAAAACTTTTTGAAAACAAGAAAGGGATCCTTAACAGCTTGAATTCAGAAGGTGGACATGTCAACCTTTGATTTTTCCCAAAGGGAAAGGTGGGCATTGAATTATTTTGGTTAATGTGCAGAAGAGTGCGACAGAGAATAATAGATTATTTCAGAGCTATGTTCAGAAAATGAGCAATTGCTGAAAAAGGTGTGAATCACATTCGAGGACTGAGATCACAGAACATCACTTACTTGGCTTCTTAGTAGATATTTTTTAAGGCCCCAGCATGTGCTGTTCTCTGTGCTAGGCTTGGTCAGCTGCAAGGAGAAAACCTTAAGCATTAGTTGAGCATCTGCACTGTACCTGCCCTGCTTGGGCTCTCTGTTAAGGCAAGTGTGCTCATTCAGGCCTCAGAATAGCCCTTCCTGTTTTCTGTTGGGGATCAGAGAGCTTTTGCTTTTTGTTCTAGGTCTGGAAGGTAAAGGAAATAAGATTAACACCTACATCAGTCTGAAGGTCAGAAATAGTTGGCAAAGTTGTAAAGTGTTACAGAGCTACTATAAATTATTATTGTTATTAATTGTCTACCTGAAATTTTTGTTGTTTCATCTTCATGTGTCTCAGTCTTGAATATCTTTGAGGATAATTAATGTTTTCTTTGTTCATGGTCAGCTAATGTGTGTTTATACCCCTCACAGCCCTGTCTTGAGGAATTCCAGTCCATGAGGAATATGAAGTGATCCCATAGTTGGCATGCTGGCTGTGTTCTAAAGGTATAGTGTAGGAGAGTGGCAGAGTCAAGCAGACTGGGTTGAAATCCTGGCTCTGTTACTTTATGGTTACATGAGCTTGTTATGTTGTTGTTGTTGTTGTTATAGGTTCCTCAATATTCTGAACTTCCATTTACTCCTGGATAATGCATTTTATGCACAAGCTACCACCCAGCTATCAGTGGAGGCTAGCATGTTGCTCTGATGCTGAAAAGGTTTCAGCAAATTTCCAGACTAAGACAGAGTAGGGAAAAAAAAAAAAAAAGAAAACCCTTGGTGTTCTACTTCTGAAAATCAGCCAGTAAGCACAATGGTTTGATCCACAAACTATCATGGATGTGGCACAAGACCAAGCAGTGTTTATTCCAACATGCATGAAGCCACCATCTGTGGGACTGACTTGATATTAGCTAACAACAACAACAAAAAAAATGTAAATTAGAGGATCATTGTGAGGTCAAATGAGATATGTTGCTGAATGCTCCACTCCTCGGAAGGAAGGTTGGGCAATCTACTTCCATAGTGATTTTGGCTCTCTTGGACTTGTTTTAATTGTCTTCAACTTCAAGTTGAACATGCTTATGAGCAGTTGATGGTCTGTTCCACAATCAGCTCCTGGCCTTGTTTTGGCTGAACATATTGAGCTTTTCCATAGCCTCTTGCCAAAATATGAACTTGAATATATCCCTCCTGAATTTAGAGACTGTCTAAAGAATAGATTTGATGCATTGAACACTAGTGACCGAAAACCACAAGAATTGTGGGATGACATCAAGAACATCATCCATGAAGAAAGCAAGAGGTCATTAAAAAGATGAGGAAAGAAGAAAAAACCAAAATGGATGTCAGAAGAGACTGAAACTTGCCCTTGAGCAGAGAGTAGCTAAAGCAAATGCAAGAAATGACAAGAATAAAGAGCTGAACAGAAGATTTCAAAAAGCAGCTCGAGCAGACAAAGCCAATTACTGTAATAAAATGTGCAAAGATCTGGCGTTGGAAAACCAAAAAGGAAGAACATGCTTGGCATTTCTCAAGCTGAAAGAACTGAAGAAAAAATTTAAGCCTTGAGTAGCAATATTGAAAGATTCTATGGCCAAAATGATGAATGATGCAGGAACCATCAAAAGAAGATGGAAGGAATATGCAAAGGCACTGTACCACAAAGAACTGGTCAATCTTCATCCATTTCGGGAGGTGGCATATGTTCAAGAACCACTGGTATTGAAGGAGGAAGTCAAAGCTGCACGGAAGGAATTGGCAAAGAACAAGGCTCCAGGAATTGATGGAACAGTCATTAAGATGTTTCAACAAACAGAGGCACTCACTAGGTTATGCCAAGAGATTTGGAAAGCAGCTACCTGGCCAACTAACTGGAAGACATTACTATTTGTACCCATTCCAAAGAAAGGTGATCCCATAGAATGTGGAAATTATCAAACAATATAATTAATATCTCATGCAAGTAAAATCTTACTGAAGATAATTCAAAAATGGTTGCAGCAATATATTGACAGAGATCTTCCAGAATTGTAAGCTGGGAGTTTCCGACAAGATGGCGGACTAGGCAGAAGGATTGCACAGACCCTCTTCAACAAAGAAAAGGGAAACCAATTAACACAGACACAGAAGATAATCGTGGACCCCTGAGCCTTGAAGGGAAGGATACAGAATTG